CATTAGCATCTGTTTCTGTATTCCTCAGCTCTGCTTCCTGTGTTGGCTTCCTTCTCAGGCAGGTGCTAAGTGGTGGCAGAGCATGGCGACAGGGTCTGTGAGGGTGGAGGGGGAAGGAGAAGAATCCCCATAGGAAAGTATGAGTTCTGTTGCTGGAAAAAGGGAGGCTTGGGCTGGCAAGTTTCCACTTCTTGTGTCTTGGGACCCAGCCACCATGCTGTGAAGAAGCTGAGGCTACATGGAGAAACAATACGTGTTCCAGCTAACAGCTAGTATTATAGACTGGCAGACATGAGTGAGGAAGCCTTTGGAATGACTCCAGACCAGCCACTGTCAGAGAATTACCTAGTTGACCCCACTAGAAGCCCAGCACCATGAGGGATAAAAATCACATGTTGTTTTAAGCCACTAAGTTTTGGAGTGATTTGTTATATATCAATAGATAACTAGAACAAAAACTGAGACTTGAAGAGGTTAAATAGCTTGCTGTACTTTAGGGGGACTGGGTTAAGAGTATATAGGCTTTGTGTTAAACTGAGTTCCCATCTAGACTATTTGTTGTGTGACCTTAGGTAAGTCACTTAACCTCTCTGAGCCTCATCTTTATCAGTCTGAAAACCAGAAAAGAGCATATCCATATTATGACAACTCTTAATAAATGATGGTACTATTACCTAATTCAGGTTTAGGTAATTTTTTTCCTTAAAAAATAACAGACCAAGTTTCCATAAAGGAAATTTTTACTTATATTTATACTCACCTTTTTCCAAAATGTATTTCAGGCAGTTTACAAAGAGAAAGCCAATACAACATTATAAACTTGAGGCAAAGGAAGATAATAGCAAGAAGGCTTTTTCTGGTGTTCTGACATCTGTGAGTGAGTGCGGTCCAGAGTCACCAGGTCAGTCGCTAGGCCTGTGGGACAAGCCCAACTGGTCCTCCTGCTTCTATAAATGAAAGGACCCCTCTTTCCTGACTGGTGAGTGGGCTCCTGATACACACCCCTCCTCTACACCTGCTGTGGGAACTTAGGATCAGGATGTTCTTCACAAAGGTGCAGCATCTGAGTTTTGTGTGGGCAAGTGCATACATTTGGTTCTCCTGGGTGCACAGAAGAAAAACTGCCCATTCTTTCTGTCCTGGACCCCATCTCTTCCCCACCCTGCAGTTCCTTCTAATACACACCCCCTTACCACTCAAACCCTACCTGTAGCATCTCCTTTACCCCCTGCAAGCTCCAGTGTCGAGCTTCTTGACCACACAGGAAGCTGCCTAAAGCCGGAGACTGTTTCATTCATCCTTGCCCATAAGAGTTTTAACAACTCTTATGATCAAATACAAACAATCCAATCCAGCATCTACCTTTGTGTTAATTATACTCTACCTCTGCAGCATTTAACTCTACAGGAAGAGGGATATAACATATATACGTATATAAGTTAGCATTTCCTGGATGCTCTGCCAAATTCTTTTAACTCAGATTGCATTATTTTATTTAACCCTCACAACAGTTTCCCAGAGTTAGAGATACTCATCCCACGTTATTACAGATCAGGAAATTGAGGCTGTGGGTTGAACAATTTGCCCAGCCAAGGTCATGTCACTTGGAAGAGGTGGAGGCATGATGCAAACACAAGCAGTCCCTTCCTACATGCCGATCATATATAACTCTGAAACTCACCTGGTTCTTGTGACCATAGTCTTCTCCTCCTCCTCTGCACAGTTTCCTTTGCGGATTCCTCCTCTTAGGCCAGCACCTCTCAACCTTTAATTTTCTTAGCTGACCAGACCTGTGGCATCAGACTCCACACTCATGCCTCCACAATCTCCACCTATAACTCAGGCCTCCCCGGAAGCACCAGGGGATATACACAGTTGTCCATCTGTTAGCTGCACTAGATGTCCGTAAAGACATCTGTCGAAACCTGCCCTGTCTAGCATCCCCTCCAATCCTTCTCTTCATGAATCCCCCATCTGGGGAATAGCCAACTGTCCACCTTGTTGCCCATGTCAGCATCTTCTCATTGTCAGTTTAACTTTCCCATGATATGTCTTGGCTCTAACCTATTTTCATCCCGTTGCCTTGGGTTAAGCCCTTTTTCTCTCTTACTTGGGCTCTGGCAATAACCTAACTAGTCATCTCCCTACCACTTACTTCCCATCAGCCTTTCCTCATTACCACCATTAGTTAGTCACTGCCCAGTGGGTGAATTCCAGACCCCTTAGCATGCATATAAGCCCTCCAGGATCTGATTCATTCCTCTCTCTCTCTCTAGCTCAACACTGGCTCTCCCCCAGTCCGCCCCATGGAACTAATTTTGAAAAGGGCTGTATGGTTACTGTGCCTTTACAAATGCCTTTACCTGGGATGTTGTCTTCACCTGGCTAACCCTCATCCTTTATAGCTCAGCTAAGAAGTCACTTTTCCAGACACCTTCCTGGCCTGAGTTAGCACTGGCCCTCCGGTGGGGCTACTTCTTTCATAGCTCTGACTAGATTACTAGTTTGCTCATCTGTCATTTTCACTGAACTATATGCTCCTAGAGGACAGAGACTGCCTTTTACTCTAGGCATTTGGGTATTACTTTTGAGCATCTGACACTGAATTGAAAGGAAGCATTGCAGAGGCAGAGTACAGGCTCTAGAGCCTGAATACCTGGGACTGCATCCTGGCTCCACACTTATTAGCTAATAACTCCTTGGGCAAGTTCATCCTTTCTGAGTCTCCATTTCCTCATCTATAAAATGAGGATGACAGTATACCTATCTCAAGGGGTTGCTGTGCTAATGAAATGATTAAGCCTATATATATATCTAGAACTGTCTTAACACAAAATAGGTACTTTGGTAATACTAGCCACTTACTATGTAAGTGATTAAGAAACATGAGAGGTGTCTTGTTACAGTGTACTGGTATATTTGGGACTGAAAAATGGAGCAGCCATAATTCTGAGGCCAAAATAGTTAATGATACTGAAGCTGTTGCCCAGTATATAACTAGGTTTGGAAAAACTTCTCATCGCATGTAATATTTTGGCTTTGATTTAGTTTTTGGCTCATTTAAAGGCTCATGAAAATCTACAGCTGATGAAAATAATTTTAAAAGTTGCCCACTAAAATGGTGGTGTTTAACTTGAATATCCAGTAATGTTTATCCCTTAGAATAGCTGGTCCTCCAGTGGCTTCAAATGCTGTTAATAAAACAAGCCAAGCTTAAATCAAGGGGCAGTAATTAGAAGGGTCCAGGAATATGTTATCAGGAAAGTTTCAAAGTACAGGGGTCATGGCAGCCACAGGGCACCTAGGTGTTTGTCCTTTCTTCTCTCAAAAGCACTATCATTAATGGGACAAATCTCCGAGGATTATGTCCCTGTTGTAAATCCTTGGGAGAGTTTGATGCTTCTTTAGCCAAGGTGGCAGGTTTTGTCAGGAATGCTGTGAGATAGGCAACCAGTAAACCAGTAGTCACCATAAAATGGAAGCAAGCAATACCTATAGTCCTCAGGATTTGTACACTTGATAGGAGCAACCTTTGGGAAGGGGGATATGCTTAAAAGTACTGCCAGCCATAAAGTCTCCTGCCCTCTGACCCTGGAAATTCAGGCTAAGGGAAGCATTCAACAGAAGGAAAATTGTTCCAGGCAGGCCTGGGTTAAGCACTTTTTACATACACATCTCACCATCTTTGAAGTAGGCATTTTCCCATTGTACAGATGTATAGCATATAATCAATGGCAGGGGAAAACTGCCACTCCAGACTGTTCAAAGTCCATACTCATAGCATTCTCAAGAATTAGCAAACACCTATCATTAGAGTACTGATCTAATAAACTATGATATAATGACTCTTCTGCAGTTTTTAAAAACTGAAGATTATACTAACATGAAAAAATGCTCCTTGTACTACAAGGGTCTATGGTGGTAGGATCATGCATTAAAAACTTAAATGTAAGTTCATCTCAAAAAAGAACACATGGTACAAAGCCCCACTACTAAAATATATTGCAAAATCTAATATTCTGTTCAAATGTGAAACCTTAGAATTGCCACAGTAAAGGAGCTAGATTGGAGAGGCCAGGTCAGAGCTGGGGCCTCACATACCACAGCAGCACTTCAGGCTGTCCAGCTTAGCGTTTTTTTCCTGCAGAACACTTTATGCAGCAAGATGTCTTGGGGAGACGGGAAGGGGCTATAAGTCTGCTCATTTTAAGTGCCTTCTAAAGAAACTCATTCAAATATTGGAACACCTACTGATTGCTCTTGGTGCTGGGGATGCATGAGTGAACAAGAAACTGCTCTCAATGCTTACATTATAGGGGCTTGGAAATGAGGATATGAGCCAGGAGAATATCTGAGGAAAAGCTAAAGTTTTTCTGTAGGTGGGGTTTGGAGGTAGATATCAAGTCAAGAGGGTTTTCTAAAGACTAGAGACATAACTCCAAATTATGTGCTCATGAAAATGCACATCAGCATACCAAAGACTTTCCCCAAGCAGTCATGGAAACTGTCTCAGACTTTCCCTTACCACAGAACCCTTCTTTTTTCCCTTTGTATAATTAGAAACACTCCTGTTTTCTAAGACTTTGGAAATGGTAGTCTAGTTGCCCTCTCAGAACCAGGAAGTGGCTCTTGATCAGAAATCCTGTTGCCTTTGCTTTGTCACAGCATCAAAGGTTCCTTACAGCTCAGCTGTGGTTGATTTGAGGATAGTAGACAGGCTGATAATACTGTGAATGGGTAACCTAGGGCAACTCATCATTTTGAATGGGTTCACCAGAGTCAATCCTATTTTAACCAAATACCTCAACTGGACTTAAAGGGTTAGGATCACTCCAGAGAATGTTTTGAGAATGAAGTTAAAAATGGGGGTTGGAATTGCCAACAAAACTGCCAACCTGTCACCAAACTGTAAAGTCACATGTCTTCCCCTAAGGGGATCCCACTGAAGTAAAAGGAATGACATACATACACACAAAATCAACAGCACTAATTACACAAGAGGCACTCATCCTTGCTTTATTCACGTAGTAACATTGGGAGTCATGTGGGTGTAGATACAAAAGGAAGACAGCATCATCAACAGCAGCTGAGTTCATTAGGGCAGTAGTGGCAGCTCGGCTAGTTTGTGGTCCCCTCAGGACCTACTGGGTTGAGGGAATGATCTGCTCCCTCCACCACTTCATGGCCAAGGTGCTTTTAATACTTGGCCTGACTTTAAGGGTCACAGTGATCAAAAACACGGTCAAGATATTCAGGGCTGAATGACGACTGCTCCTGGGCTGCCTAGGAATGGTCTAGTAATGAGAAAGTGAGGAGCAGTGTTATGCCCTTATCCTCAGTAAGTGTGTGCAAGGCAGATCACAGCAAGACACATAAGATGATCTTTTCCCCCTGTGCTTAGTGAAGAAAGAAACACCCTTTCAGCCAAATCCTCAGAAGGCAGAACTGCAGGCAGCAGAAGCAGCACCACACAGACGGTGTCACCTCTTGGTTTCTCATGTCACATTCAAAAGCTACTTTAATACAAAAAATAGGAAAGCATTTGATGGGTCTTATTGAAATTAGGAACACAAGTCAGGGAGGAAAAACCAGCCTCCTCTAGAATCATGGTTTGAACTCAGACAAGAGTTCTCCATACTGTACATGCCATAATGCTTCCTCGCCAACGGATGCCCAACTAGGATTTTTCTAAGTGTGCCAGTTATAAGACAAACTTAGAGGCTATGTTTCTAAGAGTCTCTTAGTGGCCAATAAGGAAGAAAAATGTAAGGAGGGAGGGGTACTCTGCACCTGGTATTCCCTCAGGTGGTAGTAACAGCTAGAAGATGTGACAGTGAGGTAGTACTAACAATCCTCACATGATAAAAAGGATTCCAAATCTATGTAATTATTCCCTGGACACTGAAAACAGACTGTCCTCCCAGATCTCACACTCCAACAACCCTCTAGTGAAGCTGAGTCTTACTTTAGTATCTGAGGAGAAGCTGAGAAGGAAAATGGCTGCCCAGATGAAGTGTCTGCCAATGTCCAGTTTTGTAAGATGAGGACACAGACCTTGCCCGAACCCAGGCACAAACTGTTTTGCTGAATTGATTAAGCACAATTTTCACAGAAAAAGCTGAAGGACAAACCAAATAGAAAGAATCACTGTTATAATAACTTTAATTTATCTTGCATTTTACAGAAGTCTATGAACGATTTTAAAAAAGCACCACCATATCCCATCATGTTTCTCTTGACAGTTGTTAAAAGTAGGCAACGAGTATGTCAACAGCTTGAGCATCAGCATCCTGCAAGGATTTCAGACCAACCAGCCACAGGCCAAAGAACTTGACAGCTTTTCTGACTTGCTTTTAATACAATGGTATATCCATTCTGATGACCTGTCCAGCCAAATATCCACAACACTTCGCAAAATCAGTGGTGATGAGCAAATTAGTTAGCTTTGGCACGGAGCTGTGCTCGCTTGCCTGTGACAGCCTGGAAGCCGGTTTTGATGCTGGCAACAGAGCATCGAGAATGACAAGTTTCGCACTGTAAGAAATAGAGTCGGGTGTCCTTTTGCAGGATTGTGTCCGGTGATCGGCACGTGTGACAAGTGACATATTCCTCTGCAGGAAAGGCAACATACAGAATTACCTGGTGACTGCAGTAAGCCAGAGGCTTCCCTCTGAACCTCCACAAGCGCAGGATGGCACTCAGATGAGGGAAGGTTAGCTAAACTTGGATATTCTATGGTTAAGAATACCACAAACTATATTTCTACTATGATGTTTCAAGTACTAAACCATGGGTTCAAAAAAGACTCAGTGTTCAAGAAGGAAGAGATGCTTGTTAGATGCTTGCCTGCTCCTGGTTCTGTCTAAAGGACAGGCACTCAGAAAACTTGGTGACCTGTGAATTTTAAGTGATTAGGAAGATTACAAAGGTGGGCCAGGCCTAAATGCAGACAATCACCGACTTTGCCTTCAGTCTGAAACCAACCAGCTGCCTCATCGATCAGCTGGGCATGGGAAATCCAAACTCCTTTCCCTGCACCCCTAATCACTGCTAAGAGCCACCTCCCTATCACTATCATTTTCCCTTATCCTTTAAGGCCAGCCTTTCCAACTTCATTACAAACTAACAGCTCTCCCCAAAATATTGCAGCCTGATGAGAATACTTCAGAGTGATGTGGTGAAATATTAAATGATATACTTACTGATATATCTTCTCAAAACATTTTCTATCTGTTTCTGTTGAAATCTTCCTTTGATTACAAGTTGGTTATTGCCATCTATAGAACCACTATGAAAGAAGAAAAATATCTCCACTATTACGGTTTTTTCCTTTAAGGAGCCAAATTTACTAAATAATAAATTTAGTGAATTTAAAATATATTTACTGACATAAGTTCTAGGAACTGTGTTATGCTACCTGATTTGTCAAAATTATGAGTTGGTACCTGATGATATTTCCTATCATGAAGTCCATTTTCAACCAATTAAAGCTTCATAATAATCAGATTTTTAGTTGATTTTCAACTAAAACAAGCTGATTCCATAACTCTGATGGCCCATTCACCCAACAAAGGAAAAGCACATTTTTACTGAATGCATACCAAATGCAAAGCAATGAGGGGTCTATAAATAGAAAAATATGAAAGGAGGGCTTCCTCTCTTAGAACCCCTCCTGCTTAGCACAAGTTCTTGCTTTCTCTTTCACTCATTAAAAGCCTTGCTGTCTGCTTCAAGAAAAAAAAAAGAAACCTCTAGCACCAAGTATTTTTACTGTCATTATAGTTGATGAAATGTTCTAAAATTGATTGTAGTGATATTCAGCAATGTCAACATATTAAAAACCACTGAATTCTACATTTAAATATGGGAATTGTTTCTGTAAAGCTGTCATCATCCCAGGCCAAAAAGTACAGAGTACATATTGTTGAAGGTGCTTGAAGAAAAACTTAAAAGCAGCAGCTGACAAGCACATTTGAGAAAGCAAAGCTGTAGGCTAGACATGATCATTTATTAAAAATCACAAAGTAAAACAAAATTCAGCCGGGTAGCATTAAATTTATATTTCTTCCATATCTCATCATAAAACTGACTTTTCCAAGAATCTCTCCTGTGATTATCCTGTAACTATAAGGGTTTATCATCCTGCATGGACTACTTTTAACCTTTAATCTCCATGCTGTGGTGATTCCAATGTCTAATGTAGGAAGCTTTTAACATCTGCTATCAAAAGAAATTGAATTTTCTAAACAACTCTATAATATTTAGCCCACTGACCTGACCACAAGTTCACCTATCACAGCTTGTTATAATTTACCCCATCCTGTACAAAACTAAATTATTCTGTGTAGGAAAAACTGCTAGCTTTTAACCCTCCATTAGTCATTCAAGTTAAAAATAAGCAATGATTTTTAACAAAATACATTTAAAAAGTTTTTCTACAATAGAGCCTACACATCTATCAGTAGTCAAGTAAATTATTCCTAAACCCATATCAAGTGTAGCCAATTCCAACAAACCGAGTCAAGAGTAGGAAAAGAACAGAACCCCTTAGTTATCTTAGTACTGCCAGTGAGGCACAGGATTAAGCCTCTTAAAAGCTCAGGCTCCAGAGACAGGCAGACCTGAGTTTGCATCTTGACTGCTATTGACAAGCTATGCGACCAACTACAACTTAGCTGAACCTATTTCTAAATCTGTAAGACAGGGATTACATTCATTTCTACTAATAGTTCATACAACTGTTGTAAAGATAGAGATGATACCTAAAAAAGTGCTTGGCAGTGCCTGGCATGTAATAGGTGCTCAATATGTGTTAGTCTTCATTATTATGCCCTAAGTCTACATTACTTATTTTTAAAGAGACATTTGGCTTCCTAGCACTTTCAATCAAACTCACTGAGAAGGGCTCCATGCCTCCCTGAATGGGATTGGGCTGGCTCAGTGCCTTTAACAGATAAGCCCTTAAGACAGGGAAGGAACCATTTAATCATGGATCTTTTTTCAATGTTTCTTTTATGCCACTCATCAATTTATAAGCTGTATTTCTTCCATAGCCTATTTATAATTCAGAAAATAAATTTTGACCCAAGAAAATGGCTTTCTCTGAAACTAATATTTATTCCATAAAAAGACCCAAGAATTCCAGTTATTGAAGGAAACTCCAAATTAGGCAATGCCATAGTACTCATTTTGATATACCAGCATACCTGCACAGTTGAGCTACTGTTAACTTTGTTCCCTATTCCTAAACAGCCAGGTATCTCATAGAAAGGAACCAGATTTCCCTCCTTCACTAGCCTAAAAATTCTTCTAATAATCAGGTGAATATTTTTCCTAAGTGTGTTACATATTAGGTTCAGAGTAGTTCTTATGAAATGTTCAGTAATGCTGTATATAAATGAGAATATATATATCATCTTACCTTGTACCCAATTCGGCCAGTAAAAATGCAAGGAGATGTTTGGGCTGACGATGTAATCTAAAAAGAAAGTGGAATATTGTCTTTATCTTCCATGGAAATCTAACAAAACTTCAAAAAAAATTGTCCTGTTCACTGTTCTAATCTATGACTACTCCCATTATTAGGTTAAATTTTAGTGCACAGTTAATCAAACCCTGAAAAAAAAAAAAGATATATACCATTTGTTTAAAGCCCAAAAAGCAATATTAAATGTTATTTATAGACAATATACATATGAGTAAATGTCTAGAAACATGGACAGGAAAGAAATACCAACTTTATAGGATAACATCTTTTTCTAGAAAGGAAGGTAAAAAGGATCAGAAGGAGATAGAAAGATGATCTTAATTCTAACTATAAAACTCTTTTTAAAGAATTAAAAAGATCTGAAAGAAATTTGTCAAAAGGTCAAAATACACCAAATCTAGGCAATGAATACCTGGGAGTTTGCTATGCTAATCCCTATACACTTTCTGTTTGAAATTTTTCATAAAAAAAAAAAAGTGGAACAATACATAAAGTAGTACTTCATGATGCACACACAACAGCAGAAAAATTGAAAATAGCTTATATATTCACCACCTGGGGAGGGGTTAACTAATGGCCCATCCATTCTACCCTGCTTTTAGAATATGTCTCTCTTTTTAAGAAAAAGATGAACACACAGAAAAAAGGCAAACAGAGCAATGCCATTCAGTATTTTCACTTTTAAATTCTACTCACTTGGCACCATTTGAACTTGTTTCAATAACCATACTACCATTACAATTTTAAGAAGTGTAATAAGGGTTGCTGAAACATAAAACAGTAAGCTCCTAAACAGCCAGTGACAATATAAATTGGCACAAAAGCATGTTTGAAAGAAATTTGCCAGTGTTTGCTATAAAAATATCTTTTCCTTTTGACTCAGCCAATTCCATTTTGGGAATTTTTGCCCTAAGGCTCTGCCAAGGAACATATAAAGGATGTTCCCTGAAGCTTTGTCTCTGATAATAAAAACACGGGAGCACCATGTCCAGCTAAGGAACTGTTAGACTATGCTGTGTAGCTACTAAAAATATGAAGATATTTAATACATGGATAAAAGTTTCATTATATATTGAGAAAAACAGGTTAAAATCTAGCATGATACCAATTTATTTAAAAATACATGCATAAAACTAGCTAAACATAAAAATATTAAACTATGATTATCTCTTAATGGTATAACTATAGATAGATAGATAGGTAAGTTCATTTTCTTTGGCACACCTAAATTTTCCAATTTTTCTATAAGCATGTACTACTGTTGACATCAGCAAAAAATCCAAATCTTTTAAGTAATGCCTATGAACAATGAAAACAAGCGGTGGGATTTTTAGTGATTATTTTCTTTTTTGTTTACCATTGATTTCTCTTTTATCTGCAACAAGCATGTAGCACTTAAAGAAACTCAAGAACCAATAGCAGATAAGGTTAGTTGCCCTAAGGAACCTGCCAGGAAAGTTACAGCTGAGGAACTCTGATTAGAGACAGGCCCAGACAGTGATCTGGGGGTGAGACAGGCATGGAATGTAACAGTAATTAAGAAAGCTGAAATCCCTCCACTGTGTCTTGGCAATAACCATCCAAGGAAAAGGCACACCCCAAATACTGCCACCTTCCTGAAGCTCACTGCCTGCACTCGCTTGGCAAGCCCATTCCAACCTTAACGAGTTTTCCCACCTCCCTGGGCTCCCTAGCTTCCTGCCTGAGGACTGCATTAGCCTCTTCACTCCCTCCGATTAGGATCCACTTTCGTGGGTCAGTATGAGTCAGCTGATAAAGTAATCCCTAAGACCTACATATCGAAAGAATCTGATGGACTTTGTGACCTCCTCCAAACCAACCTTGAGACTTGGGCATTCTTTTTACCTGCAGTAAAGTCCACCATAAGGATATATAACATACACTACACCAAGAATCTGGTATTTGGGATAGAGATTCCCCATTAACTAACTTACAGTTTACAGATATCTGTGAAGTTGACAAAAGATGTTTTCTTGGTTCCTACTCGGACAACCTGTGGAGGTTTCATGACAAATTTCCTTTTCTCTCCAGCGACCATATCTGGATTCTTTTCCCTCATGATGTTGAACACCCGATTCAGTAGCTATAGACAGAAAGTGGTATTCATGTACATTCTTATTATAGTAGGAGTATTAAGTTCCCACTTGAGTCACTTTGCTCTACCTGTAAGCAGACCAAACTTACCTTTTTTTCTGAAGATACATATGTATCACTACATGTTCTGGAAATATGTTCTCCCTACTTTCAAGCTCACAGATTCAGATGGAACAGCGAGGACTCTGGGCATGCTGGCCCAATATGCAGCACCAGGAAATGCTGTACACTGGCTGTGGGACCTCTCTGGGTCTCTTTCGCTATCCATCTGTATCCCAACAGACCTTTCAATTTAGGATGAATATCTTGCTTTTCTTTCTAGTGAACAGGTTAGACCCTTTTCATAACAGTATTTGTCTTACCTCCTCATATGTGTAGTCTCTTTCCGAGCCTGCCCAAGCAGGGCCTGTCTGGTTACTGAATGAGATACCATCATCTTTTTTGCTGTCTTCATCTTCTAAAGCTACAGATAACAAAGACTGTAATAATGAGGGGTGAACTCTGATACAGTAACAAAAAGGAGGGAAGAGAGAAGTGAAGGCTTCAAAGACATTTGTCTTCCCTCACACAACTGCATTTACAACACCCTTAAAGGCATCAAGGCTTACCAACAACCTGTATTCCTTGAAGACAGGGATCCTACAATACTCATAAACAACCTTTAATAGAGACCTCTCTAATTAGGAATTTGTGATAACAAAGACACAATGAACTATTTCTTGATTTAACAAATACAAGATAAAACAATGCACTGGGATAATTTTGAGCAAAAAAAGTCCAGCTGTTCTGAAGCACTTAAACATAACATCCATAAAAACCCATTTGCTGACTGAAATTCTCTAAAGACCCTAACAGCAGTTAGAACTAATAAAACAGCACTTTTAGCAAAACATTAAAAAAAAATTTAGCATTATTTAAAATCCAGCTATAGTAATTTTTCTAATAGTTTGAATCAGCATGTTTTTAATGTAATCACAATTCCAAATTCTTCCCCCACGAAATCTTTAGCCATCATTACCAAATTGGATACTATTTCCTCTGGCTTCTATTACCAGGCAGTGGAAATAAGGGGTAGGAAAAAATTAAAGAAGAATCTGCCTACCAAAGAGACTCAGTAAGTCCAAAGGGTTCAGTAACCTAGAAATGAGTTGCTGAGCCACAATTACCTTCATCTTTCTCCAGTATTTCATCCTCATCTGGGAACTTGACATTCTTCTTTTTCTTCTTTTTATTGCCAAGCATAATGTCCAAGTCATCCTCTGGTTCAGCTGGTTCTTGGGCATCGCTTTCAATCTTAAGATCCTAAGAAATTGAGATAAGAGTCTCAACATTTTGCTACTAGGACTTTTTTTTTTTTTTTAATGACATGGACTGACATCGTTTTAGGGGAGAAAGAGTCAAAAATTCAAAGCTAATGTTATAGGTAAGAAATCTCTCACAGGTGAGCCAAACTGACTCAGAGGTCTCCGTCATTTAAACTAGAAATTCTTTGAGACACTTCTGTGGGATTTTTTTCATTTCTTTTATGCATCAGCCTTGGGATCTTATTGTAATTATTGTCCATGTTTCTAAACCCAGCCACTCTCAGAATCACATAGGAAACATTAAAAGATTCTTAAATCTTCTGGTTGACAATCTTTAGCAGAAATAGGTTCAGGAGTATTTTTAGAGAAGTTTCCAAGTATTCTGATGCATTCAGTAAGAAGGTTTTTCCTTCTGACACCAAATATGTGGTGTTTTCCACACTTCCCTAACTCTCTGACACTAACTAGGGGACCTACAATTCAATTCTGATACTACTCAGAGTCAGTAACAGATTCCAGAGGTTTAAGTGTTCAGTCCCACAAGACTGTCCTTACTTCAGAGACCTAATGCAAGTATAAGATCCCCAAACACTTATGTCTGACCTGCCTACACAGTCAGAGGTTCCCATAACCCCCGCCATCACCCCCCAGGGTTTGATAATCTTCTAGAAGGACTTACAGAACTCAGGAAAATACTTAACTATTATCAATTTATTATAAAGGATACAATCCAGGAACAGCCAAATGGAAGGGATGCACAGAGCAAGGAAAGGTGGGGAGGAAGGCAGGTGCACAGCTTCCATAACCTCTCTGGGTACACCACTTTCCCAACACCCCAGTGTGTCCACCAACCCTGAAGCTCTCCAAACCCAATGTTAGTGGAGCCTTCATTACGTGGGCACTGACTACTGGTGATGGGACTCAACCTCCAGCTTCTTTCGTGCGTGTGTGTCAGAGAGAGAGAAAGTTCTAATACTATAATCATGGCTTGATTTTTGGATGACCAGTTCCCATCCTGAAGGGATCCAGGAGCTCCCAGCCAGTCATCTCAAAAAGACACTTTATCATTCCAGAGATGCCAAGAGTTTTAAGAGCTGTGTGTCAGGAACTGGGAACAAAGACCCTATATTGCTTATTATTAACCAGTCAGCCTGGTACCAGACTGTAAAGAGGTCTTTGAGCATCCTTCAGTAGATGACATCATGAGAGAGGGAAATGGCAGAACCCAAGCAGTATTAGGGTCACATGATGAATGGATGCAGACAAGATAAAGCTTGATCCCAAGATTAGTTGCCATCATCATGAATATAAATAATATGTATCATAGCATAGAAATAAGTCAGCAACAACCCAGAAAAAGCAGAAAGGGCGCCTCCAGCCTTTTTATCTCTCCCTTCTTTCACCAGTTTATCCAGCTCCTTAACCTGAAGTGTGCTGTCAATATTACCTATCATTATCTATTTTTTTTGTGTGCTAAACTCCTCTGACAATGGCTATAGTAATTTCAGAAATCTTATAAGCAGATATGCTGGAATAATTGAGAGTAAATGAAGCTCAGTCTTGAGATTCCAGATCCAGCTGGGTAGTCATAGTGCCACATTTGGTCATCAAAGACTAATCAGCTCATGTGTATTAGCTGAAGAGCACACAAGTAAGAAATCAGGTATTAATCTATAATCTCTAAAATGACAATCAATAAACTTAGATATGCTGAACATAAATTGGCATATACCAGGCAGTTTCCAGTTCTATACTATTGTTTATTTTATCTCAGCAGAATATACTTTCAAACAAAGCTAAGCTAAGCCCTGGTGAAAAGCAGAGAATAGCACAAAGTGTTTTTCAAGATTTTTCAAATGGCCTGTGATGGTCTGAAAGTTCGGGTGGGAGGGTAACCCAAGATTCAACCTTAAAGTGACATCCATGCCTTGTATCCATGAGGATACTTCTAATACTCTTAAGCTATGACTTCAATGAGTTAAGAAAAAAGTGCCCAAGCACTTTTATAATCCAGAATTTAAAGCTGACCTCCAGGACGAAAGCTATTAGAAGAACCAGCCAACAAAACCTTGTTAACCAGGTCTTTCTGTGGCACATCTCTGAGGTATCACTTTCTTAGCCGGGATATTTAAACCTCATTTGTTCAGTCTTTCTCAATTTCCCAGCAAATACCTCAAATATTAATAAGAGAAGATTCCCCAAACAGGGAAAGAACCAGATAAATCCTGATAAAATCACCTTGTTCTAAAGGACTTAAATTATCCCTGAACTAAAATAACCTCTGAAAACAGGAAAAATATCTTACTCATTTCAGTACCCTAGCAATTAGTACACAATGACCAACTCACTATCATTATCAATATATATTTGATGAATTAACCGAGTTTTTGAAACAGTTCCCAAAACTCAAAGAATTACTGTATATGTTTCCTGGTACATGTGGGATACACCTTATTTACTTGCATTTGAGCAAATAAACTATTTACCAAAGAAAAATCTGGGTAGAAGGCACAAAATGTGACACTTTATGTGTGTGTATGTCCTCACACTTGCTCTTTCTGTGTATGCATAAAACTGTTTTCCTGGGTTTTATAAATAGATGTATGGGCTCTGCTTAAGATTCCTGGACAGGGTCTTTAAAATGGTAGCTAAGTAAAGGAAGAACAAACTTTCAGCTCCTTCCTTCATTCATCCTCCTATTTACCTACCTACCCACCCAATCTGTCTATCCTTGTTCAAAAGATTTTGAGGTATTTGTATTGGAAATTGACCCAATAATAAGATAATCACAGTGCCTCATGTCTCTGTAAGATCAGAGAACTCCATAAAACCAGCCTGAGTGCTCTGGTGCTTCCACACATCACAAGATCATCAGCTACCAAACACCACAGGATGGGCTTTCATTCTTTGCCGTTCAGAGGTATACACATTAGTCTGCGTATCTTCAACATGCTACTGGGAGTTTAACAGCAGAAACCATAGGAATATTTGCTGTATGGGATTTCTCACATAAACCTTTCTCCTCAGCCAATCGCAGTATGACTAATTACAATGGCATTTTGTAATCACTTTAATGGCATACAATACAATGTGTAAAACCCAAATTTACACCCCTTTGAACCATAATCCCTAGTCAGACACAATCCTAAAAAATGACCTTTACAGTGGTGATTAAGTACTTAATAACAAAAGCAAATCTAGTTAAGAGACAGACAAGAGGGAGAATACATGAGCCTTTAGCAACCTTTCAAGAGGTCAAATTTTACCTTCAAAAAGAAAGCAATACTACCTTTACACCTTCTTCAGCTTCATCAATATCAAATATCTTTTTTGTTTTTTTCTTCTTTTTCTTCTGATTAAAGAAGTTCAAGTCATCTAGATCATCAGAAGCATCTGAAGAGACAGATAATTGAGATTAAAAGTGAACAACTAGTAGAAGGCAAAGCATCAAATTATAAGTTAAACCAACATTTCAGCTATTAATCAAGGCACCAGAACAGAGAAATTGGTTATTAATACAATAGCCCCTCCACAAACACAAAGATTATGATTCTGAAAAAAACAATGGCAGGTCAACTCAAAGCTCTGTAGGAAAAAAATGGTTAAGGGACCATGTTGGAAATATTTATTTAGTAATCTGACCATATCAGTCTGCATTGTCCTCAAGACGAAGACAGGGTTCTAATGCAATTTCCAAGGCTTTCTCTCTCCAACCTCTGCCTACCTTCTCAATCTCCCACACTTCAACCCAATTCTAACCCAACTGAACTACTTCCATTTCTTTGTGCAGTGTGTGTGCTCTCACCTCCAGCCTTTCCATGGACCCTCCCACATAGCTCTTATCTTCCTCACAGGATCTTGGTTAGAAATTACTTCTGCCAAGAAGCCTTCTCTCAGACTATCCCTCCTTTCCCCCAGCTGGGTTAGGTGCCTCTGGAGGGTTTCAAAAGTACCTTCTGTCACCCCAACAGAGGTACTTCCTAGCTTGCCTTTCTACCTCCCTATTATATACTAAGGAGCCATGACTTTTTCAACTAAATCCTAGTGCGTAGCTCAACATGTTATTAAATCAATCAACCCAACCAACAAAAGGCCTTATAAACTACTTGTCATTAAATACATTTTATTTTTTAAATAGTTTATTCACATTGTAGCTACAACATGAATAAAATGAGATTTTACCCACCATTAGTAATAGTGGGCTCCCTGTTCATTAAGTTTTCCATTTGTTCTGCCCTGTTGTACACTAGGAATATTTTAGGATCCCTCTGCTATAGTACTTTTCAAGGAACTATTTATGAATTCATTTTGTCTTATTATAAGAATGACTTACTTTTCAAGTTTGTTTTAAACATGAACAAGATGCTCAGCATGTGGTAGATTCTCAATGTCAATTCTGTCTCCCCAGCACAGTGTCTTACAGTCAACAGATTTTTCTTTTAGAAATTATGTTTACTGAAACATTTATTGCTCTCCAATAGTCAAATGATATCTGTTAGAGCACAGAGCAAATAACTAATGCTAGTGTCTAAACCCAAACATTCCAGGCTGTAATTTTAATCTCTCATTTTTCAGACTTGCTTAGACACAAAATTGCTTATCATTCTTTTTCCTTCTGCCTGCACTCAAATACAACTACCATTAAAACTGGAGAAGAGACTGGACAGGTTAGACTAGAAAATAAGCCCTGAATGAAGAGGTTTTGTCATCTCTGTGACTTGTGGGATTCAGTGGGAATTTCCTTCCACAAGTCTATCAGAAATATGGCAAAATCTGGTGCAGACTGTTGACAGCCTCAACTTTACTGGAACAGCTTTCTCAGGCTGAGAGGTCACTGTATGCACAAAATGTAAAATATTGATGGAAGAGAACCAGGTTTCCTAGGACAACAGTGACTCACGTCAACCACTCACCTTTTTTCCTACTGTCCTCTTCATCAGCTTCCACATCCTTGTCCTCAGTTGGCTCTGGCTCTACTTCTTTTGTTTCTGAGGGCTGGGTTTCTTCTGTCTGGGCATCTCCTTCCTCATCTAACATAAAGGGCTTCTTCTTCTTCTTTTTCTTCTTGCTCATAGTAGGATCAAAAATCATCTGTTTAAAAGATAATAAAAAAGGAACCAAAATTATTGTTTTTAATGATGTTCACATTCCAAATACTGTGTATCGTCAAAAGGCATACGCTTCAAATGAGTATATGATGCATTTAATATACCAAGAAAGATGGAAGGAAGGGAGAAAGACAGGACGAAACAAAGAAATCCAACCTTCCTCATGCTGCTAAAACTGGGGTGGCAGGGAGGGCAGGCAGGCTGTAGTCCTGAAACATGCACATACCTTCCGATTTGTACATTATCACAAGATACAGCAACTTCACTTTTAGTTTCATGAGCAAGTTTGGACATTTTAAGAATGAATGAACCTAATGTAGACGGCTCACAGGGAAGGCAGTACAGCACAGAGAAGAGAAGTATGGACTGACTGCAATGGGGTGTGTCAGGGGGGACTTGATAATATGGGTGAATGTTGTAATAGCAATGTTGCTCATGTGAAACCTTCATTAGATTATATATCAATGATACCTGAATAATAATAATAAAAAAGAATGGATGAATCATGGAATTTAGGGAAGGGACCTTAGCAACAACCTGTTCACTTTATGGATGAGAAAATCAATGCCTAGGCAGGTTATACATGTTTATTTAAGGTTGGTAACCCGGGGTTGCTACACCAAGAGACTTGACCTAACAAAAAAAAAATTTTTTTTTTTTTTTAATCCTAAAGTTCAGACAAACCTTGAAGGAAATCTATCAGCAACCATTCCTATAGCAAATCTCTGTTTTCTGTTTCTGGAACATAACAAATTTTCTTAGGTTATTTCTACCTAATGTCCACTAGAGAATACATGAAAAACTGATTTATAACTTGCTTTAGACTATCTGTTTGCACTGATCACTTGGGAAGAATATACAGGTAAAGTTATTTTACATATCAGTTTAAGCAACATAGGGTGGATGCCTGGTACAGTGTAAAGAGCAAGGTCTTTGAAGCCCAGCAGAATTCAGATTACATATATTTTTCTCTAAGCCCCTTACCAGTCTGTCCAAATTCTACCATGCTTAAATTTAGTATTTTGCCCAATGATGTGCCGTGACAGTATAGCGAAGTGTTTAAAAGCAAAGGTCTGGGGCCCAACTGATTAAACTGTCGTAATCTTGACTCTGTCTCTTACTTGTGTTACCCCAGATAAATGCTTGCCCTATGCATACCTCATTTGTAAAATGAAGATTAGTAGCAGAACACAACCAAATCTCACAAGGTTATTGAGAGGATTAAATGAGTAAGTAAATATAAAACAGTTGGCATAGTGTATGGCACAAAAGTACTCAATAAATGTTAGCAATTATCACAATTTATATAATGCTTTGCAGTTCACCAAGTATGGTATCTCTTGACTCCTATCACTGAAATTTCAGCAACTCAGGGTGATCTAATTTCTAAGACATATGGTGAAACTCAAAAAAATCTCCTAAATTGATTCTAATTAACTTAAATCTTTATATCTCAAATACTTAAGGAATTTAAGCTACACTGAAACCAACTATGGTCTGTAATAAGGTAGGGTAGTTACCATTCTCACCCCATAGAGAAGGATCTGCAAGACATTCTGGAAACATGGCCTCATTTCAAAGTTATCCACTCCTACCCTAACAAGAATCTAGTTGTATGAATGAATAATTCTGAAATGCAGTTGGTCTGAATAACATTATTTGGCAAATTTAAAGAGGAGGATAGAAGAGCCAGGAGGAAGAGGAGTTCCCCACTGCTCACCTACTGAGCCTTGGGTCACCCTACATGGAAACTTGTTCAGGGAGGTAGCTATAGTTTGCTCTCATTCCTGAAATACAAAAATTTGGCAAAAGGAGAGCACTCCAGGCAATATAAATTTGGTTGTCTGGTACGGCTTATAGTTCATTTAATTTTTTCAAAGTATCAAGTTCCCTGCAATATTATTTATCTTTCAACTATTATCCAGCAACATAAAGATGGGAGGGATCCTCAAGTTATCAGAGGACAACCTCACAACAGCCTTCTAACCCTTTGAGAAACATTCATATTTAAGTCTACAGGGAAACATGTTTGGTTGTAGCCTTGTACAAGGTAATAAACATGTAGGAATTAATAAATACATTCAGTTACACTGAAATAATTAACATCTCTGTCAATTACTGTTTCTGGACACATAAGACTTATACTCATAGCCTCACTTTATTCACACGACCTGGCAAAGTAGAATTTAAAAATAAGGAAACCAAGGATCCCAAAGCACACCTTCCTCAAACAAACCACAAGGCTATGTCAGTCTTGACAAAAAAAATGTTTTAAAAGATTTTCATATCTGACTTACAAATTATCACATTCCAAATGTTTTATTTATGAGCCTTATTTGGATTTGAGAAGCAAACAATTGCTGACATTTCATTTATGGAAAACCACAAAATCTCACGAGCTTTTTTTTCAAGTCCACAACAAAGCCTTCAAATGCAGTTTTCCATTTTCATCTTCATGTGTTGGGTTGGTTGGATTGGAGGTGAGGAAAAGAGATACTAGCAAAAATTTACCCTGACAAGAGCCTAAAGTGTTTCATCAAATTGGAAGCCTACTCCTAAGAACCCACAGAGGCAAAGTGAGCAGAACCAGTGCTGAGTGTTGTCATCTCTGGGCAAAAGGACTCCAGGAGATTTTTATTTCTTTGTATTATTATTCTGTGTTTTCTAAACTCCATACAATGCACATTCCATTTTAAATCAGCAACTTAAAAAAAAACTTTTAAGTTTCTTTTGTAAAAAACACCTTACCATATTGTGTGAAAACCTGATGTTCTGCCACCTTGTGAATGGGGCTTAGTAATGAGCCATGATCTTAGCTATTAACAACACTTAAGAAAAATGGTCTGAAAAATAATGAATGCCTACAGATTAGGGGATTTTTTCTTTACTAGGTAACACCTATACTTCTATAAGACTGCTTTTGAAGGGTCATGGTTCCACTATGCTAAAAGAGATTATGTCTTAGTTTTTGGTTAATTACAAAGTTTAAAAAGAAATATGTGCAGTTTATGTCAATTATACATTAATAAGCTATATAAAGAGAAAAGATAATGTGAAGAAAGAAACTACTATTTAATAGTAGGTTAACACTCTATCCTGGCCATCAGGCAGGACTACTTCCACTCTGTGGAGTCCCTGGCAGGTTATAGATTATTTCCATTTACAGATTTTCACAAGATCCTTGCAAGCCTGTATAGTAGTCAGATGTTAAGGACTGATCTAAGAACACTTACCTAGTCAACAGTACTACAGGATCCAGAACCTGCACATACCTTTAGAGTGGAAGCTAAAGGCTAGGATTCTAGTGCCACTAACTTGCTGTGTGATCATGGGCAAGTTAATCTCATTAGGCCCTAGTTTACTGTCTATAAAATAAATATGGACTGGTAAGCAGATGTGAAGGAAGTGTTAAACTTAATACTTAACTGCCTTCCAAAGTCCTCTGCTGGAAGCTGGTTCTGCCATTTCTGCCTGACAAAATCTTGTTCACCCTTCAGCAATGCATTTATATTCCACTTCCTTCAAAACCTGATCCTACTGCTAAAATTGAATCCTCCAGTTCCCCAAACTGCTGTGTTGATGGCCCTGTTTCTACCTTTCTTGGCAACTACTAGATCTCTTACATCCCTTACATGCTTCTAAGCACTTTACCAAAGAAACTACGCACAGACTAGGACCCCACAGTACCTTGCACTACACAGGTACTTTGTTAAAGGTTATGAAAAGCTTAGAAAATAGTCACAATGTGTGAAACACTGCCACTCTCAGAACTTATATACAGCAGCCCAGAGCAATGCCTCCCATGACCTCCAAGCAAGAACCACTTACCTCCATTAGACTCTCAGCTTCTCTCCTAAAAGACCGAGAGCCTCCTATTCACCTAGAGGGAGGCATTATTGCACGGATCTGGAATTCTACTACTGGCTCAGCCATTTACTATTTGATCATGGTCCTTATCTGCCCTTAATGATTATACAACTTTATAAGCTCCCTAAGTCTTAGTTTTCTCATCTCTAAAATGGGCACAACAGCAACACCTATTTTATGGGGCTGTTGGGAGAATCACATGAGAGATTGGAGTCCCCTCCAGAATAAAATCCAAATTCCTTAATTTGGTCTTCAAACCCCTTCATGAACTAGCCACTATCTACATGTGAAGGAATTAACTCTAACCAAATTGGAGAATATTCTTTCTGTGAACACACTTGCTTTCTTAACTATCCCTTGCCCTCTGATCAGGCCTTTCCGTTACCTGAGGATATTCTAAGCATCATTTAGGGTCTACCTCAAAAGCCAACGCTCCAGAAATCCCCTAACTTTTCCTTTTTCTTCTCCTCAAGGCCCAATAGGCCAAGCCCTCGAATATTTACGGAATTACAAATTTAAGAGCTGTATTTTTAGTGGAGAGAGCTGGCCGGTAGGCGGTAGCTCACCACCCGCCCCCCAGCGTTAGCCAAATACTTCTTGACAGCACTTAAAACAAAATTTCATTTTAGGCCGTTTGATTTTACGTGAAATGGGATAAACCTGGTCAAAAGGGGCCTGAGGGAATTTGTTGAGTTACAAAAAGCACGACAGTAGAAAAAGGTCCAACCAACTTTGCAGCCCGGACTTCCCGCTCACGTCGCCGTGAGCTCAGTTCAGGAAGGCTCAGGGACTCCCGCCCTAAAACTTTCCGAGGATAGTCACTTTTTGAGGCTTAAGGATCTTGTCCTCTCATCCCGTCTCCCTCACCCCCAGATCTTAAGAAATAACGCACATGACAAGGGCTGATACTGCCCAGGAAAAGCCAGCCTGCAAAGTTTTTAACGAGGGCGCCCCACAAGAGAGGAGGGCGGCTGCTTTCGGCACTCCCCGCGCCCAGCGAGGAGGCTGGGGCTGCAATGTCAAATCGAAAGGAATGCAAGGGTCGTCAGCCCTAACTTCAGGTGGGGCATTAACCTGGCCTTCAAGCCCCCTTCCGAGAGGACGACCCAACGTGCCCTCCATTCCGGAAATACCAGCCATGGGAGCCGCCGCCCTAAGAGCCGGGAGCGGCCAAGCGTGCCGCTCGCCGGCTCTACCGCCCCGGGCCGCATAGGCCCGGCTGCCCCACATGGCGGCGACCGGCCGCTAGGCCGCAGGCCCGGTTTCCCACACGGGGGTGGGTTCGGCTCCCTGCCTCAGTCCTTAGCCCGAGCGCCAGACCCAGGCCCTCACCTCGTCCCCGGACATGGCTGCAGCTCGAGTGGGCTCGACACCGACGAGAAGTAGGGCGGGTCAGCTTCAGACCCCAGCAGCAGCGTCGCTCCAACCGACAGCTCTCCCACCACCGCGCTAAGCTCTTGCATCAGCGAAGGGAACGACACCCCGCCCTCTCCTCCGAAGCGTTCGAAATGCGCCTGCGCCGAGCCCGCCAAGGCGCAGGCGCGCGGAGAGCCGACGTAGAGCGCTGGGTCTGGCGCGAGTTACCAGGGGTCGCCGCGGCGCCGGAAAGCCGGGACTTGTAGTCCGCCTGGAAGAGGCCGGCTCTTGAGCCGAGGCCGCCCAGCGATTTGTGCGCTTGCGCGGCGTCTGAAGACGCGTGAACGAAGGTTGGGTTTTGCAGGTGGCTGTTCTTACCTCTTCTCGGAGTTGAAATCAAGGCCATTTCACCTGGGTTAGGGTGGTGGGTAAGACATTAAGTAATATGAACACGTTGAGGCTTCAGTTTCCCCGCTACTACCTCCACCTTGCTCCCTTGGAGTATTCTAATGATTGAGGAACTCGAAGTTAGAGCGAGAGACGCGCACTTCACTAAGGAGTTTCACTTTGAGAAATTTAACCTAACACGCTGTGTGGACTGAGGAGAGAAGACATTCCCTGAGGAGAAACGACTTAGCGAGGAGAGAGTCAGGCAGTCAGGAAGCCTCAAAATACTGGTTTGTTAAGTCTCTGCTTGAACGCTGTGGATGCATCATGCAATTCCCCTTGAGGGATGACTGTAACAGCTACCCTTTAGGGGGCTTTCGATATTGTCAAATAGCCTCCAGCCAAAGACCAGCGCGAACATCACTACAGTTTAACAAAGTTGGGCTTGCCGTCTCCTTTCAAAGAGGGAGGAACACCATAAGAACAGGGCAACACCTCAAGAAGAAGGTACTGGAAAGAATTTACATGATTTGGACTTGTGTTAGGTATTTGGGGGAGAGTTCAAGGAATCAGGTCTTCTCTCTGGATTGTATTCAGAGATGGAAGTAATTCTGTGATGGGGTATTTTAATAATTCTTATCTAAAAAGAGAGAGAAACCAAGAGAGGCTAGAGCTATGATTGGTTAAAAAGTGACAGTTCCTCATGTTAGCTAGGATAGGGGGATGCTTGGTCTTTTTGTGTTTGAGACAATGTTCTTTTTTGTTTGTATTCAGGCATGATTGTGGAGTGGTTCTGTTTTTGTCTTAATCATGGTGGCCACCGAGTGGCTTTGTCTGATGTTGGTGTTCTCTGAAATTGTGTTCAACAGGGCAACACATCCGGGTTGATAGTGTTAACCTAGCTCCCAGTATCAGGAGGTGCTCTTCTCACTGTGCATCATATGTTCTCTGTGTTAGGCCTCAAAACAACTATGTGAGACAATCCACAGATATTAAGTACTAGCCCCTAATCTAAGCACTGCAGGTAAAATTAGGTCCCTGCCTCCAAGGACTTTACAACTTTGTGAGAATGATGCTTTACTAGCCCATTTTTCCAGATGAGGAAAATGTGCTTTCATGGTATTGCATAATTAGTCCAAAATCATACAGCCAGCAAAATGGGAACCTGGGGATCCAAGTCCAGACAATCTAATACCAGTGGCTGCCACTGTAACCCCTTGAAAATCTGATTCTCTACGAAGGCTGCACTTCCTCCCCAGTGACATGACATAGGGAGTTGCTCAACAGAAGCACTATTGACATTTGGGGCCATCGATAATTCTTTGTTGTTGAGTGAGGGCTGTTCTGTACCTTGTAGAAAGTTTAGCAGCGCTGGCTTCTATCCACTAGATGTCAGTGATAACTTCCCCTGGTTGTGACAATCAAAAATGTCTCTATACCTTACCAAATCATCCCTAGTTGAGAGCCACTGGTGTATACTACTTATCTCCTCCTTGGCCTCTGAGAGGTAGCAAATATTTGGGACTTCACAGTCTCCAAGGCTCTTCAAGAAAAGAAGGTTTTCCAGGTTTTCCAAGAGATAGAGCCTACTTAGAGTAAGCTACTAAGAGCAAAAATAATCACTTTTATCTTCCTAACTTCTTTCATCTAGGAATCTCTGTAAAAAATATAGACATTTATTAATTTTTTTATCGTAACAGTAAGGGAAATTGTTGTGATTTTCCTGTTTCACAGATACAGAAGCCAAGTTACGGAGTCCACAAAAAATAGTGAGAAATCCAGAACCAAACTATTGGAATCTTCACTCTAGGCCATTCTTGATGCTCAGCACAACCCCAGATCTCCAGCTGCTCAACAGTAAGCTAATAATGATGATCTTTCAATTGTATACTAAATTTTATGTTTTGATAGGCTTTAAAATATTCCATAGTCTCTCTATGTGACCTGTAAAACAGTTGACTTATAGAGGCTATGACTTAAACAAAATTAAATAATGATGTAATGGGGTATGTGGGGGGGACTTGATAATGGGGGGAGTCTAATAACCATATGTTATTCAAGTAATTGTACATTAATGATACCAAAATAAAAAAAATTTTTTTAATTAAATAATGACAGTACTTGAACTAGAACCCAGATCTCATGATTCTTAGTCCAGTACTCTTTCTACTTGGTAAGGAGTCCATAGATTCTTGTAGGTGATATTTAGTTTATGGAAAACATAAGATATTCTAATTCATATAGATACCCAGATCTGTTTAACCCTTTTATCTATAAGCACCTCATTATATGATGCCTTTTAAGAATTAGCTTTGGTGAGGGAAAGAGAAAAGTCACTGAGATATTAATGAGAAACATCTAATAACTCTGAAATTAAACTTATCTTTTGGTTGTTGTAGTAGGTCCCCTAAAAGAAGTCTTGAATAGAGTTAAACTTTGAGAACTAAATAGTAGGAATGAATTCTTAATTATTTAATCACATATAAAAATGATTTATGAAATAATGTGTCACTGAGGTGATTTAAGAGTCACCAAATCTAAGCAAGTTGACCAGGCTATAGTCTAATGAAAATACTATCTCCAAAAACCATCATTATATGAGTGATTTCCAAATCCATATTTCCAACCCAAACCTCTCTTCTGAGTCCTAGACTCACATATCTAAGTGCCCACTTCTCTACATTTGCTTCTTTTACAGAGATCTCAAAGTTACTATTTTTAAAACAGAACTCTAGGTATTTCCCATTGAAAGTCTTTCTCATCTCAGTTAAGGGCACTGCTCTCTACAGTTGTTTTGTTACAGAAAATACTGGAAAACCTGGACTGGGTCACTGATGGAAGAACCAGGCAGCGCTTGGAGGTCTTGGAGTGTTGAGGTTTTATTCTTACACCAGCAGGCTCAGAGGGGAGTAATCTCCCAAGGTCTGAGCCCTGAGCACAAGCAAGGGGAGCAATTTATATTACTTTGATATGTGGTATTTCAGCATGTGCAGGGCAAAAGAGGAGCCTGGAGGAGAAGAGGAGGGAGCTGGGAGTGCTTTGCCAACCAGAGGAAAAAAGCCATTTGCTGACCTTGACGACTGTGTTGAATATTTTCCTTATCACTACTCCCTCTGATGCCCCTTTAAACACTTCGTTTTAGCGGGTATCATCTTTTTGGTTTATAATAGGGTTATAATGGCTTGTATTTAAACTTTTCATTGCTTTGAGCTAGGATTTTTTCTTGTGACTTTTTTCGTTAAAGTCCTGAGTACTTTGTGAAGAACACAAATGATTATGTTTTTATGCATCTGTCTGTATGGGCCTTGTGTGTACAAGTTGAAATGAGTCCTTCAGACTCTTGATAAGCCTGCACTTAACAAAAAATACCCAGTTTTCCTCAGTCCTAATTTATTTTTATGCATCTGAGCATTACACTCAGGCTGGCTTATTTGAGTGTGAGAGGACAGGTGCTAAGGGTGGCAGGCCACTGAGGGCGGCTCCCTTGGGTGATGACCACACACTTTATAACTTTGTACAGTTAATTTGATAGAGGTAACATTATAGAGAGGTACTTTGGAAATGCAGTCTGAGACTTGAGTTCAGCTAAGAGAGACAGGTAAGCACAGCAGAACAACTTACGAGTACCCAATAGACAATAGAAAGGGTAACTTTTTGAGGAACAGTTTAGTCAGATGGGGGAGCTGCAGAGAGTTTAATGCCCCGGATGAGAGATTCTATTCCAGCAAGGGCCAGAATCCGCGGTGTGCAGGTTTTCATTAGTCAGAGGGTAATCATCAGATGTGGATGCGGAGAGGATTCGGGAGGTCTGGCTGAGCCTTCTATTAATGTATTTCTTTGTCTGGATTATGGGCCTTTTTCACTCTGGAATGGTGGACCCATGGAGTGATGCCTGCAACTTTGAGGGCAGTAGGAGTGATTAGAACAACAATGTGGGGGCCAGTCCACTGAGGTATGAGGGGGTCCCTTTTTCAAACTTTCACCCAGACTGAGTCCCCAGCCTAGAAGGAATGTACTGGGGTCCCTAAGGAGTTTGGACTTTCTGTGGTATATTGTTGCAGCTTATTTAGGGTGGCTCCCAAGGATTGGAGCTGTTCCCTTGCTCCCTTATCTCCTATCTGGCATAGGTTCCCTGGGAGACTTCCTAGACGCAGGGGTGGGTGTCCATACATTAATTCAAAAGTGGAAAAACCTTGAGTTCCAGGTGTGCAGCGAGTATGCAGGAGAGCCAGGGGAAGTTCTGGCCATGGGAGGCCAGTTTCTTGGCAAAACTTAAGCTATGGTTCCTTTGAGGGTGCGATTCATTTGCTCCACTTCCCCTGAACTTTGTGGCCTGTATGCAGTGTGGAGTTTCCAGGTAATGTTGAGAGATTTAGTTAAAATCTGTACTGCATCTGCTACAAAGGCAGGTCCATTGTCACTGTGACTTGTAGACAGTAGGCCAATCTGGGGTACAGTTTCTCTCAGGAGGACTTTGGCTATAACCTGGCTTTGTTTTGTCCTGGTTGGGAAGGTTTCAATCCACCTAGAATATGTACACACTATTACTAGAAGGTATTTGAGTCCTTTGCTTGGCTGGACATCTGTGAAGTCTATCTCAAGGTTTTCAAAGGGGGCAACTCCTGCTCTTTGGACACCTGGTGGGGGTCGCAGTGCAGATTGAGCATTGTTTCTGGCAAAAGTCATACACTCCTCACTTACTGCTCGGCTTAATAATGCTGGCAACTGGCTGATGTAGTATTGCTTTTTGAGGAGGGCTTCTAGTGCAGTTTTTGTTAGGTGGGTGAGCTGATGGTATTTGCTGACTAGATGCCTTCCGGTTACAGTTGAGACAAAGATGTGTTTGTCAGGTGCATCTACCATTTTTTTTTAGTTAGGGTGGCTCCTTCAGCCATGGCCCAGCCCTTCTCTTTTTCAGTGTACTTGGGTGGAAGGGCCTCCACTGGGTGTGTTAAGGCTATAGTGAGGGAACAGGCTTTATCTGTTTTTTTATTGGCCGCTGTTTCAGCTGCTTTATCTGTTAGCTGGTTCCCCTGTGATACAGGGTTGTTTTCCTTTTGGTGTTGTTTGCAATGCAGAATTGCTACTTTTTGGGGGAGCCAGACAGCCTTGAGGAGTTTTAGTATTGTGCCATCTGAGAGTTGGAGAGGAATTGGTGTCTCTGTGTGTTTAAGAAGGGCACAACAGTATGGGGGAACTTGACATTTATTTTTTGTCCCAGGGCAAGTTTATCTGCTTTTTAATGAATAGAACTGTGGCTGCCAGTGTCTTGAGGCAGGGTGGCCATCCTGCTACAACCGCATTTAGTTTTTTGACAGGTATGCGACTGGCCACTGCTAGGGCCTAACAGTCTATGTGAGAACTCCACGGGCTACTTTTTTTCATGTATGAAGAGATTGAAGGGCTTTTTTATTGCTGGCAGGCCTAGGTCTAATACCTGTTCTGAAGCAGCCTTTATTTCCAGGAAGGTGGCTCTTGCCTCTTCTGTCTAGACAGGGGGCTCTCGGTCTGGCCTCCCCTAGGAGGCTGTAGAGGGGTTTTGCCATTGCCAAAAATCTGGAAATCCAGAAATCCAGATTCTGCAGAATCAGTGGCCCCCAGGAACTTTCGTATGCCTTCCTTCATCTGGGGCTGAGGTAAGGAGATAATGACCTTTTCTACCTTTTCTTCTCTAGCCCCAGTGCCCTTTCTCTCTGGATGAGGAGGAAGCCCAAGTACCGGACTTGCTGCTGGCAGATTTGTGCCCTTTTTTTATGAGGCTCAGTATCCTGAGTCTGACAGGAGTTGCAGGAGGGCCTTTTGTGCCTTTTGCACAATTTCCCTGGGTGTCACTGGCAAGGAGGAGGTCATCTACATACTGCAGGAGGGTGCAGCATGTGGCTTCCCTTGGAAATCTGGCAAGGTCTACGGCCAATGCCTCTCCAAAGAGAGTGGGTGAGTTCTTGAACCTTTGTGGAAGCCGTATCCAAGTAACTGCATCTGCTGCCCCATATCCGGTTCAGTCTATTCAAAGGCAAACAAGAGCTGGCTTTGGGTGGCCAGCGGAGGCAGAAAAAGCATCTTTTAAGTCTAGGCAAGTGAACCATTTGGCAGACCCCAGGATCTGGCTGAGGAGGGTATACAGATTTGGGACCACCGGGTGTAAAGAGACAGTCACTTTGTTAATGGCTCACAGGTCTTGAACAGGCTGGTACCCTCCTCCTGGCTTTTTGACTGGTAGAAGCAGGGTGTTCCAGGGCGACTGACACTCGATTAGAATGCCTGCATCTTTGAGTCTGATCAGGTGTTCCTGGATGCCTGCTCTTGCCTCTTGTGAGAGGGGGTACTGCTGCTGTCTTTGTGGCTGGCCCCCTGGAGTCAATTTTACAAAGACAGGGATTTGGTTATGAGCAAGTCCAGGTGGGTTGTCTTCAGCCCATATTGAGGGGATGGCACTCTGAATTCAGGCGGCCTACTTGAGAGGGTCTGGGCACAGAGTAGCCTCTACTCCTCTTCCCTGGGTGCTGTTATTGCCAGTACGAGGGACCATGGCTCTTCCTGGCCTGGATTTAGTTTGAGGCTGGTGTGTCCAGTTGGTTCAAAAGTTATCTGGGCTCCCAGCTTTGAGAGTATGTCTTGGCTGAGAAGGGGAACGGGGCACTCGGACAGGTAGAAAAACTCATGTTGGACCTTATGGCCTCCAAGTTCACATTGGCAGGCTTGGCAAAAGTGTTGCTGGACTGCTTATGTCCCAGTGGCTCTGAGAATAGTTGCAGTCTCTTTACTGAAGGGAGTTACAAGGAGGGTGACCACAGAGTGTTCTGCCCCTGTGTCAACCATAAGTCTTGTGTTGTCCCCCCACTTTCATTTTGACCATG